TGTTGAAGTATATTCTTGATTTATTCACTTGCCTCCCTCACTAAAATGCCAGCTCCTTGGGGACAGAGACAGTCTTTCATTGCTGTATCCCCCAGATCCCAACACATAGCCACTGGGTTTTCAATATAAATTTGTTGAATGAATGAGCTCAGCAAACATTCTTAGAACACAGTCAGTGGGAGGTATTCCTAAGACACAACAGAGGACAGATGCCTTCCAAGCTCACAAACTTAAACCCCACGGAGAAGCGTATGGTCTAACTTGTGGTTCTCAAAGAATGGCTCTTAAATCAGTAGCTTCAGCATCACCTGGGAATTTGTTAGAAATGCAAATTCTCAGACATCACCCCAGATGTATTGAATCAGAGACTCAGAGTGAGGTCCCAGCAGTCTAGGTTTTACAAATCTTATGGGAGATGCTGATGCACTCTTAAGTTTGATCATCACTGATCCAGAGGACAAAGAGAGCAGAACTAGAAGACAACCAAGACAGAATCTAGAGACCAAGAGCAGAGATGAGAGAAAGCTGCTCACAGGGCAGCTCTCTATTATCAGAACAGTCCTACAGGTTGAGACGCTTCTAGAAAGAGCCAAGAGAATCCTATATTGGAAAAGATTAGTTCCATGTGGATCTATCAAGTACCAGGCCAGGAGACTAGGCGATTTGGGTTAGGCTTGGCTCTGCCATTAACCAGCTGTGTGATCTTGAACACAGCCCTTTACCTCTCAAACCTGTTTCGTCACCTATGGGTCTCCATTGTGAGGCTCCTGCCCTTCGGTAGTGTCCCCCGTACCTGGTGGACTCTCCCACATGGTCTTTCCCTCCTAGTCTAATCCCTAACACCTCTTCCTCCACCCTTTCTCTCCCACTTCACTGTGAAAATCAGAAGAGAGCCTCTACAGATCTTCATCCCACACCCACCACCCACCAACATCTGCACCCAGAGATTCAGCCTCTCAGCTTACTACCACACCCCAGCCACACTGCCATACAAATCTAAGCCCTCCCACGTATTCAAGGATGTTGCTACAACAAGTCTCCCCTCTCCCACATCAATTTTTCTTTCTAGTGGATTTTCCCAATCACCGGAAACAGCTGTTTCTCCCATCTTTGTCCCCTTTGGCAGCAGAACTTCTCCTAAGAGTTGTTTCTATGAGCTGTCTCCAGTCACTGTCCTGCTCTCCCTCAGCCCACTCTACTCGGGCCTTCATGCCTGTCACCCTCCAGCACTGTTCGTCTGGGTCACTAGGGAAACCCAATGGCCGATTCTCAGGCCTTGTTTTATCAGATGCATCAGCAGCACCCCCCGGTTTATTATGCCCTCCTCCACCACACATGCTCACCTGACTCCCAGGAGACCAAACGCTTATCTTCTCTCCTACTTTCCCGGTCGCTCCTCCTCGGTCTCCTTTGCCAATTCCTTGTCTTTTCCCAGCTGTCCTCATGCCGTAATAACGGGAGGGTCAGTCCCAGGCCTCTTCATCATGCTCACTCTTATGATTCCACCCAGTCTCGAGATTTTAAATATGTGTAGCTCTATGTTGAAGACTCCCAAACACGTATCTGTAGCCCGAACTCCAGACTCCAGGCTGCCTACTCAGCATCTCCCCTTAGATGATTAATAGCCATCTTAAACATGTTCAAATGGAATTCCTAGTTTTCTGTCAAATCTGCTTTATATACTGCCTTACCTGAATTAACAGCAGCTCTGTGTTTCCTAATGCTTATGCCAGAAATTTTAGTCATTCTTGACTTTTCTTTCTCTCCCATTCCTCAACCATTCATTCAAAGACACTTTAATGGTTTACCTTGTAAACATAGCCATTACCTGACCATTTCTTACCACCTTCAATGCTGCCACCCTGCCAGAGCCAACATGACTGCTTGGATTACTACAAGACTTTCTAAGAGGTTTTCCTGCTTCTACCCATGCCCCCCAAATTCCAGTTCAACATAGCAGAGTTAGTTTTACTTTTTTATTTATATATTTTTTAAAGATTTTATCTATCCATTTGACACACAGAGAGACTGCGCACAAGCAGAGGGGAGGGGCACAGGGAGAGGGAGAAGCAGGCTTCCTGATGAGCAAGGAGCCCCACGCAGGACTTGATCCCAGGACCCTGGGATCATGATCCGAGCCCAAGGCTGATGCTCAACTGACAGAGCCATCCAGGCGCCCCCCAGGTTAGTTTCAAATGGAAGTCAGATCATGTGATGCCTCTGCTCGAAACTGTGAAGAGTGATTCATTTCATAGTAAAGGACAGGATCTTTTTTTTTTTTTTTAAGATTTTATTTATTTATTTGAGAGAGAGAGAGAGAAACAGCATGAGAGGGGAGAGGGTCAGAGGGAGAAGCAGGCTCCCCGCCGAGCCGGGAGCCCGATGTGGGACTCGATCCCAGGACGCCGGGACCATGACCTGAGCCGAAGGCAGTCGCTCAACCAACTGAGCCACCCAGGCGCCCAAGGACAGGATCTTTATGATGGCCTACAAAGCCCTACATAAACAGCTCCTCATCCCCTCTCACCCTACCTAACCAGACTGGTCTCTGTGCTGTATGCTCCTCCAGCTGCCTGAGAGCCTTTGCACTAGCTGATCCCTCTCTGGAGAGCTCTTCCTCATGGATCCATTTGGCCAACTCTTGCCTCCCTCCAATCATCTCAAATCTCACTTTCTCAGCGAAGCCTACCATGACCAGCCCTCCCCTACCCCTTACCCTATTCCTTCTTTCCTCCACAGCACAGATCATCTTAATGATGTACTTTACAATTTACTCATGTCTTGTTTATTGTCCATCTCTCTCCATTAGAATGTAAGCTCCATAAAGGCAGGGGTCTTTGTCTTTGTTCACTGATGTATCCTAAGAACCTTCAACAGTGCCGAGCATAGAGTGGGCACTCAAAAAATTATTCAATAAATGACTTTAGCAGGACAAATCTTTTTAGACAGTTACAGATTTATTTTAGCACACTAGAAAGTCCTATAATAAACATGCAAGCCTCTAAGTTCAGTAGTGACAGGTTCTTTTGGGACTTTTAAAGAAAACATCTGGTGAATAATATTTCCTTTAAAAAAAAAAAGATTTTAGTTATTTCTTAAAAAGAGAGCACAAGCGGAGGAGGGGGTATAGGGATGAGCATAGGGAAAAGCAGACACCCCGCTGAGCGGGGAGCCTGACAAGGGGCTCGATCCCAGGACCCCGGGATCATGACCTGAGCCAAAGGCATACACTTAACTGACTGAGCCATCCAGGCACCCCAAATAATAGTATTTCCTAAGTAACCTGAAGGTAATATACAAGCTGAGAAACCCTGCCCTCTATACACAGAGACAGGCAAATCAAATCCTTTGCCACTCTAGAGGGACAGAAAACAAGGGTTGTATCCTAGAATCTTCAAATTTGGCCATGCATACAAATCATCTAGGAAGCTTGCTAAAAATAGATTCCTGTGTTCTTCTCTAAGCTTTCTGGGGGTGGGGCCCAGACTCTGTATTTTAAATAAATGTCTCAGGTGATTTTCCTGTAGTAGTCCAGTACTGGGCAAGGATTAGTTAGGTCTTAGGGACTACTAGATCAGATGACCTCTGAGGGCTTTATAACTAAGAAGTTCTGCCTTTGTTATTGAGACATGATTGACTACACTGTAGAGCAACGTTTTTCAGACTGCAGATTTAATGGGTCAGAACCAGCATTAGGAAAAAATTACAAATAAAAGACTATAAAATGCGAACGCATGGCCTATAGTAAGCGTATCATTTCTTGAACCATTTTTTCAATGGTGAGTATATGTACAGGGGTAACACAAAATACATTTAGTTTTTAATGTGGATCGTGGTTAAAAAAAAACTTTGCAAGCCACTGCTGTTGAGAGAATAATGAACCTTAACCTTCTTTGTAGTAAGAATGTGAATTTCTGAGCCCCACTAAGTTCAAATCTCTGAGTTCAGGAATCTGCATTTTTAACAGGTAACTGATGCAGATGGCCCTAGACCACATGTGGACTACTGTGCTCTGTGAACTCAAACCTGTCCCCAGGACCCAACTCATCCAGTGCTTTTCAATACTGGGGGCTAGGGTGCGGTATGGAATGCCCTCAGGAGGAACAAATCCAACCCCTCATTTTTGTGGAGGCAGTAAGGGATGATTCGGAAAAGCATAATTAAGATCACTCTACTGTTATATTGGGCAGGAATCCTATTTTGCTATTTATAACAGGGCAGTGGATTTTTTTTTCTACCTGAAAAGGTGGGGGAGGAGGAGGGACATGTACTTTTTGTCCACTTAGCAGCAGACTGTATATGTTTGGTTCAAGGACGTGCTTTATATAGGTAAGCACTCAAGCACATGTTGAATGAAAGAGACAGAAATCCTGAACTGAGCAGACAGGAAGCTATAAGTGGTCCCTCTCCAAGTTGCTGTCACTCCCAAAGCCTGGTTCTTTTTTTTTTTTTTCCTTTTTTAAGTAATCTCTACATCTAACATGGGGCTCGAACCCATAGCCCTGGGATCAAGAGTAACAAACTCTACCATCTGAGCTGGCCAGGCGCTCTCCAAAGCCCGGTTCTTCATAGATTTTAGGGACTTCTTGAAAGAAGGGGAGTCCAGCAAACAATCCCCTGAATCTGAGCTTACTCAGTAACGTTATAGGGAATAATGCCCATCCTCATCTTTTTTGTCTCAGAAGAGTAGCACTCAAGCCACAGAATAAAACTTACAGTTAAGCCTACCAGAGAACACATACAATGTGTAATCAATAAATGCATAATATTTACATATGACAAGAGCTCCTACTATGTGTCAACTGATTTACATACTCTACCTCTAATTCTTGAAAATAACCCTGCAAGGCAGCTATTGACCTATTTTATTTTTATTTATTTATTTTTTTAAGATTTATTTGACAGAGGGCGCCTGGGTGGCTCAGTTGGTTAAGCGACTGCCTTCGGCTCAGGTCACGATCCCGGAATCCTGGGATCGAGTCCCACATCGGGCTCCCGGCTCAGTGGGGAGCTTGCTTCTCCCTCTG